TTCATCCTCTGTGAAAGGGAATTTTAATATTGGCTTGTGGAAGTCGTTTTGGTCAACAGCAGAGAATATGCATAATATGTATGTTTTCATCAGTCAGATAGTCCAGGCTGTATTGTATTCACAACTAACCCCCAAGTCCCAGGAGCTGAAAACAGGCGAGGTTTATATTTCATTCATGCTACAACTCATCATGCTATGGTTTTTCCAGTAGTCACATATGGATGCGAGAGTTGGACAATAAAAAAAGGCTGAGTGCTGAAGAACTGACGCTTTTGAATTGTGGTGCTAGAGAAGACTCTTGAGAGTCCCTTGGACTGCAAGGAGATCAAGCCAGTCAATCCTACAGAAAATCAACCCTGAATACTCATTGGAAGGACTGATGCTGAAGCTCCAATACTCTGACCATGTGATGCAAAGAGCTGACTCATTGGAAAAGACCCTGATGCTGGGAAAGACTGAAGGCAAAAGGATGAGGGGGGTGGCAGAGGATGAGATGGTGAGATCGCATCACCGATTTAATAGTCAGGAATGTGAGCAAACTCCGGGAGATACTGCAGGACAAAGGGAAGCAGGAGTGCTGCAGTCGATGGGACTGCAGAGAGCAGGACATGATGTAGTGACTGAGGAACATGTGATCAGGGGCTGGGTCTTCCCTGTCTTTGCTCAGTGTGGAGGACTGAGCAGGTGGTGGTGAAGAGGGGCTCAAGCCCCCCCCTGCACAGTTGCCAGGCAGGAAAATCACTCCCACCCGGAAATCTCCCACTGGCTGCCAAAGCTTCTCCCCGAAGAGGCTGTCTCACTTCCTCTTGTTTCATTAGCCAGCGTGGCACACAGTCACACCTGACTTCAAGAGGCTGAGAAAACACACCCCTCCCGGGGCCCACAGAGAACCAATATTTGATAAATGGAAGTGATGGCAACCATACTCTTATCCACTCCATTTATTGTCTTTTCAGAGCTGACTGTTGGATTTTGTTTGTTGTTGATGTTTTAAAAATTCCCTCAGTGAGTTATATATCCTTCTGGTTAATTTCTTTAATTTTTCTTTTATTTAAAAAAAAAAAAAAAACCAAACCAAAGTTGGCCAGAGTTAGTTTCTATTGCTTATAAGAGCCCCAAAAAACTATCAAAAGCACTGGACTTGGCATTCCCAATGCAGCTGAGCAGCTTAAGAAAGTGAACTTCAGCTCACGCATTTGGCTGAATTTGAAGGAAGAGTGTGCACTCGGAGAAAAACGTGTTTTGAAAGGATACGCGCACACCAGTGTTTTCTGCTGCGATGTTTACAAGAGCCAAGACAAGTGAAAGTCGCTCGGTCATGTTGGACTCTTTGCGGCCCCATGGACTAAACAATCCATAGAACGCTCCAGCGAGAATACTGGAGTGGGTAGCCTTTCCCTTCCCCAGGGGATCTTCCCAACCCAGGGATCAAAGTCAGGCCTCCCACATTGCAGGCGGATTCTTTACCAGCTGAGCTGATTCTTTACCTGATTCTTTACCAGGGAAGCTCAAGACAAGGAAGCCACCTAAATGTCCAAGAGATGAATGGATAAAGAAAACGTGGTACATATATACAATTAAATATCACTCAGCCATGAAAAAGAATGAAATAATGCCATTTACAGCAACATGGGTGGGCCTAGAGATTGTCATTCTAAATGAAGTTAAGTCAGACAGAGAAAGACAAATATCATATGATACTGCTTATATGCAGAATCTAAAAAAAGGATATAAATGAACTTATTTACAAAACAGACAGACTCACAGACTTAGAAAACAAATTTATGGTTACTGAGGGGAAGGGTGAGGGGTGATAGATTGGGAGTTTAGGATTGACATGTACCCACTGCTATATTTAAAATAGATAACCAACAAGGACTCACTATATAGCACAGGGAACTCTGCTTAATACTTTGTAATAACCTAAATGGGAAACATTTTGAAAAAGAATAAAGTAAAGTCGACTCTTTGCGACCCTATGGACTATATATAGTCTTGTTGGCTCCTCCATCCATAGGATTTCCCAGGCAAGAATACTGGAGTGAGTTGCCATTTCCTTCTCCAGGGGATTGTCCCGGCCCAGGGATTGAACCCGGGTCTCCCGCATTGTGGGCAGACTCTTTACCGTCTGAGCTACCAGGGATGCCTATAGATACATGTACATGTATAACTGAATCACTTTGCTGTACATCTGAAACTAACACAACATTGTTAATCAACTATGCTGCTAATTTAAAATAAAAATAAAAAAAGAAAAGGTACATACATTTTTCAAGAATAAGGTTTTAATAGGAAAAGAAGCCTGACATGGATGAGCCAATATTTAGATCCAAATGATTATTGGTAGTTACCACATGTCAGGCTGGGAGCCAGGTATTTTTGCATATGTTCTATAAGTCATTTTGATTCTCTATAAAAACCATTTGGAGTGAGTCTAATTGTCCATAATTTATATATATGCAGAAAATGGGGCTCATGGAGGTGAAATGACCTGTCCGAGAGTCACTTAGCTAGCAAATGACAGCTTTAACTCTATTGTCCGATCACATAGAGATGAAACAAGGATTCAGTGCGCATGTCTGAATGGTAGGTGCTGTTTGGTTTGGCAATGAATGTGAGATATGTAAAAGGTGGAAGGGCACTCTGAGTGCAAAGGTTAAGAGTAAGAGGTTGGAACTTATTAGTCTGGGAGGGAGAGGAGGGGTTCTGAGTCACAGAGCATTGGCAGAGCTCTGTCTCAGAAACACTGTTGCCTAAGATGGATAGAAACAGGCTCCTGAGGCTCACAGGAGGCCTGGAGAGCAGTTGGAGGAATATTGCAAACACTTGGATAGGCCTGAATGAGCATGGGTGTTGGCAGTGGAAACAGAAAAAAAAAAAAAAAAATTCTATCTGGTCTCCATATCCACTGGGAATTGCTGAATGCAGACTGAGTTCTCCCTATGTAGATAGCTTCTGCTTTTTATCACAGGTTTTTCAAGAACTCACTCCCAGAAAAGCTGGATCAAGACTAGGAAAAAAAAAAAAAAAGACAGCTGCCTAAGTGAGGAAGCTACAAACCTCCGCTGTCCCCCAAATCAGCTCCTCCCATCCACTGGGGGACCTGTTGTCTTACTAGTGGGGCTCTCTTCTTTCAAGAGTCTTTCATTAAAATGTGACAATGTGGGGACAAGAGGGAAAAGGGATCCCAGGAAATTTCTTCATTAGCATCATCCAGGCAAGTAACATAAATGTAGGGTGGCAATCTGGGTGCCTCATGAAGAAGAGGGCATACATGCCCCACCTATAGGGGGATTCTCAGCTCTGGCTGAGGGGCCCAAAACTGCTGGATCTGCTATTTCAACAGAAACCACATGTCCAGATTTTGTGGGGTGGAAGGCCCTTTATGCTTAAATATTGCAGCTAGTTGAAATTCCTTCACATCACTGTGCTGGCCACTTCGGCTTTGTTGGTCACCGGTGTGATACCTCTGAGTTAAATTTTAACATCGTTTTATCAAAACCTTTCCGAACGAGAAAGCACATGTTGAGTAAAAGTAGATGCCTAGCAGGTTCATTTGCATTGCTGAGGGCAGATGGAAAAGTTTGGGAATGTGTGTTACAGGGTGGCCCTGGACCACACGCTGAGCATCCCTTTCAAGGCTGGTATCTGGGCCTTGGAAGGGAGATGGAGGCCCAGCAGCAGCAATATTTGCTGTCACGGGGGGCTTGGAGTGGGAAGAGGGATGAATCAAGCCTGTGGTTTCTCCTACCTCTAGCTGGCTTCTTCCCATTAACATTACAGTAATACAGTCCTGTGGTGTTTGAAAAAAGCATCAGTAGTTACACGGAATGATTTATAGGACACCAGACTCTGCATTTCAGAGGTCTCACGTGTACCATAAAAATATATATATTATAAAGGAATAATCTTTATCTGAACTAAAGCTGTAGTGAAGGAAACTCGTGTCCAGCTGAGAGCAGCAGTGAGCTTTTGTTCACTCAGGGAAAAGTCCGCGTTCCTCATCTTATTTGATTAACATTTTCTTCCCCTCTCTGGTGCTAGGTATCTAGTTAATATTTAGACACTATATACATTTTTCTCACAACTGTTGTTCCTATTATGTGATCAAACAAAAACCGGAGATGTCAACCAGAGCAGCCGCCAGGTGAAAACAGACAGACCTGGCAGGCACCCAGCTGTGGCTGGCAGGGTGAATGGGATCCCGAAAGCTGGCCCCGTGGGAGATACTGTTCGCGGGTGTGTGCAGGGCCAAACCCTGTCCCCAGGACGCAGAGTTCTCTAGAGCTGCTCTGTTAATGACTCTGCCCCATCTTCCCTTTGCAGACTGATTTCCCCCACCTCCGAGAAGCAAGTCTAGTTTTGAATCTTCCAAAGCCTTTTGATGTTTACCATTACCTCCCCAGGAGAGGGACGTGAGGGGTGGAAATTTCGCTGAAAAGAATATACTTAAAAAATACAATGAAGCGATGCACAGATACCCTGCAATCCAACTTGCCTCTGCTTATAAGGTGTTTCGAGTGATGATGGTCGCAATCTATTTCAGTCCAGGGAAATCTAACTCCTTTAGTGGCAACGCCTCCAAGGGGCGCAGGTGTACCTGTGGTTAAGGGTGTGGATGAGGGAACAGCCTCATCTTTTGGAGCAGAATGCGCAGTCACCCGGTGGCGGGGACGGAGGCGAAAGCTCTGGGGGTAGAGAAAGCTGGGGGTTTGTGTCAACGCTCCACCCGTTAGGAGCTTCAAGATAAGATAGGGAGGAAGGAAAGATGGAAGTTGGAATGAAAGAGCTGTTATGGAGAGGAAACCACTCCTGGACCAAAGGGTAGGAGGATATCCAGGGGGCGAGAAGGGCGGGTCGGGGGATGGGCGGAGTTGACTTGGAGTCCCAGGGGAAAAGGGGCAGCGAGAGGTCGCTGCCCTCGGGCCCCGCAGCTCGCCGGTGAGTAGCACCGGCGGCGGGCATCCGGCTCTACGTCCCTCAAAAGTACCGGGAGAGGAATGGAGAACCGGGCGTCCCGGGCTCCCAGGGGAGGGGAAGCACGCGGGGCGGGGCGGGGAACACCTCAAGCGAATGCGTGCGGCGCGCGGGGTGGGGGGGCGCGATCTCCGCTTCCCGGGGTGCCCCAGCCCGAGCGCACGCCCCCGCGCCCGCGCCCCCCTCCGCAGGCGCGCGCGAGGCGCACTCCCCCTTCCCTCGGCGGCGCGGGGCGCGCACCCGGCCCCCTCCGCGTCTCTCCGCTCTCCCGGCAGAAAGTTAGCAGCGGGGAAGGAACTCGGGGCTGCCACAGCGCGCGGCGGCGGCGGCAGAAGCTGGAGCGGGAGCCGCGGCGGAGCCGGGGAAGCGGGGGCGCTGCAGACGGAGCAGGTGCAGCCGGCGGGTCCGCGCGCCCCCCTCGGTCCCCTTGCCAGAGGCTGAGGGGGGTGGTGGGGGGCCCCCCGGACGCCGCGGGGAGAGCGGGGAGGGGGGGCCATGCGGTCGGGCTCCCCCCCGGCGCAGCGGGACAGCGGCCAGGGCCGGGGGCGCAGCGGCGTCGCTTCATGCAGCCGGGGCGGCTGGGCAGCGGCGGCGGCGGCGGCGGCGGCGGGGGCGGCGGCTGAAACCATGTCCGGGCAGCGCCGGGGGCCGCCGCCGCCGCCGCCGCCGCCGCGAGCCGGGAGCCGCGATGGCCCCGTGGCCCGCACCTCCTCCGCCTCCGCCTCCGCCTCCATCTCTCGCGGCGCCGCCGCCGCCCGGCGTCTCGGCTAAGGGCCCGCCGGCGCGCAAGCTGCTTTTCATGTGCACCTTGTCCCTGTCCGTCACCTACCTGTGCTACAGTCTCCTGGGCGGCTCGGGCTCCCTGCAATTCCCCTTGGCGCTGCAGGAGCCGCCGGGCGCCGCCGAGCCCCCGCCACCCTCGCTGCCGCCTCCCCCCGTGCGCCTCGGCGCCCCCTCGCAGCCGCCCGCGCCGCCGCCGCCGCCGCCGGACAACGCGAGCCGCGGGGAGCCGCCCGAGACCCCCAGGCAGCCCGCCGCCCCCGGGGCCGACGGCTGGGGGCTGGCGAGCGGCAGCGGGGGCTCCCGGGACGCCTGGCTCCGGACCCCAATGACCCCCGGCGAGATGGGCACGGCGCAGAGCGCGCTGCTGGAGAGGGAAGCGCCGGAGTCCAGCACCACGGACGAGGAGCTCGCAGGCCGGAGGGCGGCCAACGGGAGCAGCAGCGCCGTCAGCACCCCCGACTACGGCGAGAAGAAGCTGCCCCAGGCACTGATCATCGGGGTCAAGAAAGGAGGGACCCGCGCGCTGCTGGAGGCAATCCGAGTGCACCCGGACGTGCGGGCGGTGGGCGTAGAGCCGCACTTCTTCGACAGGAACTACGAGAAGGGGCTGGAGTGGTACAGGTAGGACCCCGGACTCGGCGGATGGGATGGGCGCGTGGGGGCAGACCCACGCGGGAAAAAGCCGCTCCCCCTGGCCTTGGGGATCCGGGCAGCGTTCCGAGAGCCCTGAGCCCCGCGAGGGCTCTGCGCGCCCTGGCGGGGCAGCTCTGGGGGAACGCGGAGAGGGCTGGAGGCTCGCCAGGGATCACTTTATTCCAGGGCGAGGAGAGAGGGGTCCCTCTGCTCTGCCTGCCTCAGACTTCTCGTCCAGGGAGCTGTTTTAGGAATCTGCCTAGTTCCAAGTCTAGGAATCCCCAGCCCTGGTGTCCGCGGGGTGTTTCCTAACCCAGGCTCTTGCGGGGCGGGGCGCGTCTGTGTTGGGGACCCCGAGGAATGGAGCTGGACAAGCTGGATTGACTAAAGGGCTTTGGGATTTCCTGGAATCTCTCAAGATCGCCCTCAAACGCATTTGCGTGGCTGGAATCCAACTTCAGTATTTTCAGTTTAGAGCAGAATGAACCGGGAACAGTTAAAAAGATGATGCTGGCGAGTCTGGGCTTTCTCGTAAAAGACTCAGGATGCCCCCACCTCCAGAACTTTCCGTCCCTCTTGGGCTGCTTGAACCCTGGGTTGATATTGCATCAGGAGCATCTGTGTCTACATGACAGTTGATGCCCTAGGAGTTTTCATACCCTGCACCTGCGCCCTTTCTAACCCGTGCCTCATTGCAACAGATTGGAGCTTGTGTCTAGTGAGTTGTTTGTTCATCTCCCTCTTTTTCCACCGTCTGCCAGCAGCGAGGGAAAGGGAGAAGTAGTAAGCTAAGTGCAGGTAAAATAAATTAATCGACCAGCGTTCTCCCCTGCCCTTCCCTCTTTCCTTTTTTTTTTTTTTATCACTCTGGAAAACAGATCTGGATGGCTGGCTGCATCTCGGTTGCATCTCAGTAATTAATTGCAATTGTCAACCAGAAACACAGGCTTTGTCAGCTAAAGTGATGTTATCATCTTAACAGAACCAATAGGTAAAATAAGGATTGTTTCCTGACAGGTCGCCTTCTTGTAGAAGAGACGTGCTTTTTAAGTTTAGATTACAAGCTGGGGAAGTTTAAGAAATAAGTTAACTTTGGAAATATATAATAAATGTGTGTATTGTGATTAATTTCTTCCCCTTTTAAAAATATGCCTATGCTTTCAGCTTGAGAGAAGTACACTTAGGCATAAACATTCCAGCACATTAAACTGAAACAGCAAATGTGTCTGTTCATGTCTTGTCTGTTTCAACAGAGAGAACTAATTGCAATATTTTAGGAGGCTTCAAACAGTCCCTTTCTATCAAAACATAAAACAGCAAATGCCTAATTTAACTGGAAAATAAGTATTTATAACATCACAAGCCATGGCTTCCAGTTTGCAATTATAATTAAAAAGGTGTTAGGATGATTAATGCAACAACAGCAAAATAAAAAAAAAATGGGGTTTGATGTCTGGGAAGGTTTCAGTTGTTTAATTTTTGGTTGTAGGAATGTTCAGGTTTCTGCTGTGGGGTAACTGTGGCTCTAAGGGGGGTAACCATGGCTTTTTCCCATTCTAATTTTAAAGCTGTATATCATATGAGAAGTGTCAAATGCCCTTTGGGGGAGAGGGAGGCATAAAGATCAAATCTTTCCAACATGTGTTTGGGTTGCTCTGTGGCAGCTGGAAATGGAGAAGGAGGTGTTTTATTCAGATGACTTAAAATAAAGTTGATGAAGGGTGTAATGTGGACTGCATGTCAGGAGGTCCCATTGTAGGGTCGGGAGCATTCTCTGAATGAAAAGATAGATGATGCTGACAGATGCCACGTTCTTTTACACTGCAGCTGGGAAAAGGAAGTGTGTAAATTGCCTTGCTCATAGGACATGGCTGTTGAAGATCTTATTCCAACATGTGGTACCCTCAGCCATCACAGGTGGTCTTTGGGACTTAGCATCCCATAGGACTAAGAGATGCAAATGGAACTAGGTTCACTTGATTCTCACTTAAGAGGATCATGTGATATCTCTGTATCTTCCATCTGCTGCCCCAGCATCAGACCCCGGGTAAGTCCTTATTACACTTAGTGATGCTGATTGGAGTTACTGCAGGAGAATCTATCTAATGTCGAGGAGTCATTTTCCACCCAAATCTGGATGTTGAGAAGAGTCCCAGAAACCTTTTGGATCCTAGGATAGCTCTCCAGCCTTAACAGATTCAGCAGTGCTTTGAGGGCATTTTAGGGATTTCTGTTGACTCCATCTCTTTAGCTCCCTCCTCTCTTCACGGGCTTCCAGGTGGCTCAGTGGTAAAGAATCTACCTGGCAATGTGGGAGATGCGGGTTCGGTCCCTGGGTTGGGAAGATCTCTTGGAGGAGGAAATGACAACTCACTCCAGTATTCTTGCCTGCAAAATTCCATGGACAGAGGAGCCAGGCAGGCTACACAGTCCATGGGGTTGCAAAGAGGTGGACACAACTGAGTACCCACACACACTCACACTCACTCTCTCTCCCTCCCATGTAGGAAGAGGGGATGGCATCCTCACCATGTCGTAGAAGGGAAGCAGTGGCATTGATTCAAACCAGTAACAGAAACCCTTCTTCCTGGTTCCCTGGTTCCAGTCTTTTAAATGGTAGCATCTCTACCTAAATGGTTTTAGTACCTCCCTGTTAAATGGTTATAGTATGCTTTGCATTTTATCTAAAATCTTACTCTACTGTTTGCCTGGTTGGAGATTCACAGGTTAATTAAAGGTTTTGATCCCCTCTTCCCATTATTTGTTTTCCTCTTCTTTTCAACGTGCTTCCCAGTAGCCTACTGATTCGGCGAGTGATTCCGGTGGTTGTGATGTCAGCGAGAGGGAGAGCAAGAAGAAACTGGGGCTGCTCTCGGCAGAGCTGGCGAGAGTTTCCTCGCATTTAACTAAGCAGCCTGGGTTTTATTTCCTCTGTGTCACTCCGGTTATGTCTAAATCCGGGTTTTGCTTTCGCCTATGCTGTGGATCTACTGTGATTTAAAAACACGTTTGAGATTAGAATGTGTGCATCAGATTTGCAGGGCAAGATAGGCTGATGGATTAGGATGTGTGTTAAAGCTATGGAACAGCAAGCCTCACTTGGTGGATTGACACAGGCCAGTGATTAATAAATGGGGGTAGATAAAACACCCGCCCCCGCCCAAAGTAAAAGGACAAAGCCACCATGTGCTTTTCAATATGAGCTGATACATGCTGTCTGGGCAGACACCTTACAGTCCTCTAAGGCGTGGGGCCTTGTGGCAAGCCAAGTGGCTGCTGCCATGGCAGAACTCCTCAAAGTGACAGAGATGAGTGAGCCGTGGTCTGTCTGTGGCTTACAGACCATCCAGGGAACGTGACTTCTTGGCTTTGGAAGCCTCTCAGCTGTAGGGCAATGGGAAGTGACCCTCCATGGGGTCAAGATGTTTTTACTCCCAGCAGTTGTGACACACGTCCTGTTGGCTGGAGGGAAGCAGCCTGGGGAAGCAGGGTCAGTAGTTTCGCTTGTGTTACGGAGAGGAGTGTAATCCTCAGCATCGTTCAGATGAGGTGTCTAGAGAGAGAAGGAAGGAGGGCCGTGTAAGGCACTGGCGTATATTGAACATGTGTTATCATGGCAGTTCATGCTTTATAGATGTGTAATCACATCTAGGTGGCATGATGAGGCTGTGAGCAAAAGAGGAGCCTTTCTCCTTTACAGTTGGCCCTCAAAGGGGAAAACAACTTGCTCGAGGTTGCTCAGCCGTTCAGGGGTTGAGCTGAGATTTGAAGCCGCAGTTGTCCAAAGGCTGGTACGTAGAGTGCTAGCAAAATCTTTTCCTTCCTTCCTTCTTTCATTCAGCAAACATTTAATGATACCTACCCTGTTTCCAGTACTGTTTTAGGTGTTGGGGATACAACGGTGAACAAGACAGATGAAGTACCTCTTCTCCTGGAACTGACATTTTAGTGGGGGTGGGAGTGGGGAAAGGGGAGACAGTGAACAAACAGGTCTTTCTGCTTACTCTTTTAATGTGGTTACTGGAAAATTTGAAATTACATGTGTGACTCCTGTTATTTTTATTTCCATTGGGCAGTGCTCCTGTAGAGCAGCGCTGTTTAAACTTTAAATGCACACAGGTCACCTGGGGGCATTGTTAACATGCAGGCTCTGATTCGATAGGTTAGGGGAGGGACCGGAGAGTGTGAATTTCAAATTTCTAAAGTGATACTGATTCTGCTGGTTTCTGGACCTCTCTTTGAGTAGCAGGGGCATAGAAAGTAATTCATGTGTGTGTGTATACGTGTTATCAATGATGAGGGAAAGCCTCTCTAGAGGTGGTATAAGTATCGTGAATGAGCAAGATTCTCCCATGTGAAGACCTGAGTGGAGAGGTTGCCAAGCAGAGGGAACAGCAAGTGCAAAGGCCCTGAGGTGGAAACAAACCTCATGACTTTTCAAAGAAATCTACAGTGTTTGCAGGTGGACAAAACTGGGTTCAAAACTCGGCTTTGCAACTTACTAGTTGAATGATCTGGGTTGGATAACTGACTTAAATATCACTCAGCTTCAGTTTTTCTGAGAGTAATTCCTTCCTTGCAGGGTTGTTGGGAGGAATAAGTGGAATGATAAAAGTGAATATATATTCTAAAAAAATGAATATCCCTTCATAGCTGCCATAACATTGACTGGAGGCTTTTATTGGGGATGTTTTTGGGAAAAGACTAACAATGATGGGCTTTGCAATCTATATCTGCTTAACCTTTTAAACCAAGGGTCACTCATCAGATGCCTTCAGGGCTCATGTGGGTAATACATTCGAGTGAAATAGACTAGGTGGGGAGAAACTGGGCCACAGACACTCTGTCCAAAAGGGCAGCCGCTGCTCTGTTCCAGCCACGCCCTTTCTGTGTGCAAATGTGGCATCAGGGGAACCCTGTCTTCCACTTGGGAAGAGAAACTGGAAATCCGGGTTTTGATGTGAAGTGGCCTGGTTTTTTACGTTGGC